ATAATTGACAATTAAATTTCCAATAACCTCTTCCTCTATCACTGTCATTTGTTTTGAATTTTAATACAATTGCTGAATGATCTGTTCTATACCCTGGGATTATTTTGGTATCTAATACTCTACTATAAATACAATCAGAAACAAGAAAATATAATCAATTCTACTTTGAATAACTGGATTTGATCTTCTCCATGTGTATGCCTAACTTCTTAATTCCAGATTCTCCATGGATCATAAATTTCAAGTTCGCTTTTTATACTATAAATAACTGAATTATTTTGTTATAACAAATTAATAATTTGTTATAACAAATTTTAAAATAATTTGTTAAAACAAATTGGTAATTTGTTATAACAAATTAATAATTTGTTATAACAGATAATTAATTTGATATAACAGATTATTAATATGTTAAAACAAATTATTAATTTGTTATAACAAATTATTAATTTGTTTTATCAAATTATTAATTTGTTATACAAATTATTTAATTGTGATAACAAATTAGTAATTTGATAAAACAAATTACTATTTTTGACAAAATTTGAAATGTATACAATCTACGAAAGCCAGATCAAATCAAAAATCTTAGTATATGTCGGATTTATGAAAATAATTTGCAACTGTCAAAGTTTTTGGCAAATAATAAGGCTTTAGTGGGACTATTGAGAGCTTTTCCAGCAGGCTCTTTTTTTATTATTATTATTATAAAAATTTCATGCATACAAAAGAATTGAATGACACATTAGGAATTTAATATCAAATTTCACCAAGAGATACTCACTCAAGAATATTGTGGGTTTTATTTTTTCGTTCGTTTTCCGGGGAAGGCTGTTACGGAATGTATTTTTTTTTCTTGATAATTTATCCGCAAATTCATTTTGGTCAGTGGTGCCTCTGTTGCTGACAGCTTTATAGGAAACCATTGAGGTTCACCACGGGAGCAGATCCAGGATTTTGCAATAGAATTGGGTTTGGTTTAAAGATTTTATTCTTTACACATGAATTGGGTTGAACAGTAGACATAAATGCCTGTCGAAAAGCAGTATTCAAAGTAGATCATGTCACATGTAAAGAAAGAATCCAGAGAGAGAGAGAGGGAGAGGGGGTTAAAATGAACAAAAACAAAACACAAACTAGAGGTACTGTGAGCAATGAGCTCACTAAATGATACCCCCGCCTCCCATATGCTTATAATGACAAAGTCCATGTTTTGCTGTGGCCGGGAAACCCAAAATATGTGTCGGATCAAAATGTAAAATAGGAGGTACACAATGGCAATATGTTATGTAATAAAGATTCTGTGAAAGTTTCATTAAATTTCACTTCGTGGTATAAGAGGAGTTGCGGATAAGAGATGGGTACTCCAAAGCGTAACAGACGGACGGACGGACATACCGATTATAGTATACCCTCCCACTTTTCAAGTGGGGGGAATATAATAAAACAATTTATATTGTAACATTCTGTTGCATGGCTCAAATAAGATAATATTTTTCCTAGCATACGAACTGGGTGATATGACTTTGCAGAGTCGGAAGGGGGGGGGGCACGTATGGACAAACTATCATGAAAGCTTCTAAGAACAAGCTATAAGGAATAGAATCTAGGACATTGATGCAATTCATCATGACATTGATGTTTGAAGTGAAAACTCTGAGCTGCTAGAAGAAACATATAGGTCAAAAGCTTTGCAAACTGTGTGCTTATTGTTTCACAAATTCAATATTTCAAAGATTCTAATCTGATATAGATTCCATAGTTCTGTGTACATGTCAAATATCCAAAAATAGTAATTTGTTATAACAAATTACATGTAGTAATTTGTTAAAACAAATAATTAATCTGTTATAACAGATTACTAATTTGTTATAACAGATTACTAATTTGTTATAACAAATTAATAATTTGTTTAAACAAATTGATAATTTGTTATAAGAAATTGATAATTTGTTATAACAAATTATTAATTTGTTTTAATAAATTATTAATTTGTTATAACAAATTGATAATTTGTTATAACAAATTGATAATTTGTTATAACAAATTGATAATTTGTTATAACAAATTGATAATTTGTTATAACAAATTGATAATTTCTTATAACAAATTAATAAGTTGTTTAAACAAATTGATAATTTGTTAAAACAAATTGATAAATTGTTATAACAAATTACTAATTTGTTTAAACAAATTGATAATTTGTTATAACAATTTGATAATTTGTTATAACAAATTAATAATCTGTTATAACAAATTATCAATTTGTTTTAACAAATTATCAATTTGTTTAAACAACTTATTAATTTGGTATAACAAATTATCAATTTGTTATAACAAATTAATAAGTTGTTTAAACAAATTAATAATTTGTTAAAACAAATTAATAATTTGTTTTAACAAATTATCAATTTGTTATAACAAATTATCAAATTGTTATAACAAATAATCAATTTTTTATAAAAAATTATCAATTTCTTATAACAAATTATTAATTTGTTATAACAAATTAAAAAAAAAAAAATACTGCTGCGGCCCTAATACGCTTCCGTAGAAGAGAAACCTCTTACATTCATACTCAATATACCTAACATTTCTACTTTGTTGGTCATTTTAGTTGTCACATCAAATGTCATGAAAATTTTTCATTCTTATTACACAGAACATTAGAGAAGGTGCACTAAAGCTCAAAAACAACTCATACATACACACTCTACACATACTTACATGTACATTCACAAAAGTCAACCATTCAATAGGCATCCCTCGCCTTGAAGTCAATGTCCCACCTGTATCGGCTCCTCCTGCTAGTTTTACTTATTGTAGACAATTAAACATTTCAATTTTTAGTGAAAAAAAATTAAGCTCTAAATATTTTGTCAATATTGTCCGTAACATCAATTCTATGTCGCTCTCCTGTCATATCCAGCGCAAATATGTGGCCATTGAAATACCAGGCACTGTCAACAAGATGTCTGTTCTCTGCTTTTAAGGCTCCCAAAAGCTGCGCATTCATACTGGTAATATGGTCTAGCATGATGAAATCCTCTTTTAATGCTTCACGTTTTGTTATCACAGATTTTCTTGCCTCTGTCGTATTAAACTTAACAATCACAGGGTGTGGATTTTGTTTATCAGCGGATGGGATTCTGTGAATGGCTAGAATGTCCCGCAGATCGAGAATAACGCCTGTTCTCTCAGCCACAATGGTAGAAAACTCTTCTTTGAGTTTTTGGCCCTTCCGTTCTGGCCAGTTGAGGATCTTGATGTTGTTCTTTTGCGAGTACTGCTGGTTAAAATTGGCCATACTGAATGCTGTGCTGGCAAGCTCGTTTACATCCTTCAGTTTGGTCTCCAATTTACTAATTTGTTTCTTAAGATTTGAAACATTTTCCATGTTTGTATCATTGTCCATCATTAGCCCATCTACTTTGTCCGATATCTGTTTCCTTATTTTGGCAACATCTTCAACATGCTGTTCTTTTTGTGACTTGAATTCCTCTTGAATCTCTGATTTTAAATCTTTCATGATCTCTTCTTTGATACCGACAGCCAACTCCTCATGTAATTCCCTCTTCAGGTCCTCCTTGAATTCAGCCACTACACTTTTAACAATCTCTCGTATATCATCCTTTGTAACAATCCTTTGAACCGCCAACTAAATTGATTCCAGTGTGTCCTTTATCTCATCAATTTCTGAAGATTCCTCTTCTCCTGCAGAGGAAATTCTCCTCTGTTTTGATGCTGGTTTTGATGATACAGTTTGTGACTTTACTTCGGATGGCACTCTGGACAGAAATAATGTTGATTGCTTAAGCAATGGACCAGAAAATTTCTCATGGAAAATTGTCCAAACTCGAAAATCCTATTTCGTGGTTGGGGGAAGAGGGCTCCAACTTCTTTCAGGTACCAATATTTTTACTCAAATACTACATTACCCTTAACAATACTGCAACCAAAAGTGGGGGCATGTTTCCCCCATGAAGCCCCGTGCTTTTATAGACGTCACCATATACCTTCGAATTTAGACCCCTACTCGGCTCTCAGTGTCATTGGGTTGTGATGGATCTTGATTTTTATCAAGCCAATGGGCATGACATGAGCGTGGTCTCATCCCAAGGATCCACAATTTTCACTTCAAAGTGTCCGACGCTTGGCAAAGAAAAAGTTGCTATCTATTTTTATCGACTCGGGTAGTTGCAGCCACAGGGGTCAGTAACATGCTAAATTTGATTTTACGTGATGAATATATATGTATACAAAAAGAGACTCTTTCTGTATATACAGCCTTTACGTAAAATCAAATTTAGCATGTTACTGGCCCCTGTGGTTGCAGCCTGTGTCCAACCCACGACCTTTCGATCACCTGTGAAATATGAAAGCTATAGCTGCAACCAATCAAAACCTATGGGCAAGGTTTGATATTTTTGACATAAACAGATAGAAAGACGCACAAACTATATGCCCCTGAACTTTTAACTTTGGGGCATAAAAAATCATCTACAGAAATCTGTGAACTTGTACATTGTAGTTTACTAAGGTCACAGTGGAAAACAAAACCTGTAGAATGCATGTTATACTAAAAAAAATATTGCATCGGATGTAAGCCTTAAATCTACGGAAAAAAACAGTGAGATTATTCTACCTGAGCATCTTACATAATTTTAACTTAATGCAGCTAATCCTCGGAATTTTTTAACTGCGCATGAGTCATGACGTAAACTTATGTTCCTGTCCCAACACCATTCGTAAATCGGATCATGGTAATCCTAACACTTTTCTATAATCTCGCAAGATTAAAGTTTGAAATCAACCTAAATCTATGGATCTTATTTTGTCGCTCGTGGTGAAGTACAGGAACAAAAGCATTTCATGAAATGGAATTTTCTTTGTAACTCAGAGATGCTGGAAACGCAATGAGCTGATGGATTCTTTACCCCAAATGGAATGCACTTTATATCGAAGTTATTAGATTGAAGTTTGTGTTGAGTTGATGATGAACTTGGACACAAAGGCTAACTAAAAATGTCTGCAATGTCGGAAGCTTCACTTCCTGTGAGTTGGAGAACGGATTCGGCTTCTCAGGCGTCAGGGTATTCCAGATACTCCAGGAGTGGGGAATCATCGAACACGAGGAAAGCAATGGTAATGCTGATGAAGGAGCGTAATTATTATATGTTAAAATCGGGAGCGGTTCAAGGATTTAGTCTTTGAGTATCTATACAAAATAATATCGAACAAATTAAAGAAATGAAAAAAGGAGAGAGTATATATAAATCATCATCAAATATACCATAATCACCTGTTTATTTCTCCATTTTTATTCGATAAGCAAGAATTTAACATGCTCTACGTACCAAATTTCTGAATCGGGGCAAGTTGTCAAATCAGTTGATGAAAGAAGGGTATCAATAGTCTTGATTCAAGTCAATATTTTGTAAATGCTATGGTCCATATAGAAACATTGTCAGCAAAAACAATTTACAATCAAGTCAAAAGTAGGCTGACGTTTTTCATACACAGATGGTAGGCTGTTTTTACACTCTTCCCCATTTATCTGATCAAGACAAGGAACACACAGCTAGCAGGCCGTGACTGGTCGATAGGGGATGCTTACTCCATCATGGTACCTGATCCCACCTCTGATGTTTTTGATGCCCCCGTATGCTCTTCTCCACATTTTTGGGGGGTTCAAATGGATTTTTCATTAGGATTATTGTTCTTTTCATATTTCACCCTCTATTGACGTTTAGTTGAATTACGTATTATGTAAATACAAAGCTTATGTAAATAATTCTTTCAGGTAAAAAAAAAGTTTTATGCTGAATTTCTTCTTATTGTTAAAATATCTTTAGTATAGTAAGTAAGAAGTTTATTGGATTTTATCATTCTGATTATAAGTAGGCGATCAGTGATTACCGTTATCTTTTTTTTCTTAATATCTAGATTCGAATTGTTTTTATTCACAAGAGAAGAAATAGATAACTTCAACCATCCATTTCAAGGTGTATAACTTCGAACACCAATATAGCAATGTTTTTAATCAAAGTGTCTGGGCCCGTCTTTCTAAGTAGGCATATACGCGTCAACATTTATTCTTCTGTGTTTTGATATTATATTTTTGTACGTATGTCATGCTTGTATTTTAGAGAAGTGACGAGATTTTAGGAAAGATATTATGAAAAATAAACTCTGGAGTCTCGAGGATTTCTCAGACTTAAATAAAGATAACCCCTTTATCAATGTTTTTTTAAAAAATAAACTTAGTAAACATGGTAAAGTATTTAGTATTTGAGTTTTCCCTCGATGTTTAAAACACTTCGAGCATTAATGTGTGATAAAGAACATCTACTATATCGAAAACAAGCTCTAGAAAAAGACTTCAGTTTCTAATCAAGTTTTTCAGACTTGGACAAGCTGTATCACGACGAAGAGACAGAAATGAACTCTAACGTCAATGAGATTAAATGGACCTTAGTTATTAAGACCGTGTTTCGCGTCTTTGACCAATGTGTGTCCATTGAAAGAATGGATAATTCACTATTGTGTAAAATGGCTTATTTTTATCCACTTGTTAATAACCTAGACAAAATATGCATAAGGCAGACCTGGGCCACAGACCTATATTGCAGGAATTAAAGTTAAATAGTGCGGTAACACTATTTTCAATTTGTGTGTAGTAACCTTTAACTCAATCTTTGACAGATTATTAAGTTATAGTACAGAAAATAAATGCCTAGATTTGAAGTGGAACTAGTACATGTATTCAGTTTCTTATAAATTGGAATTCAGCTCTCTATATTGATTTGCAGCAAAAAGTCTACGAATTATGTCTAAAATATTTATTTATGTAAGTTCACGTTTTGGAAAAAAAAAACCAAAAAAAAAAAAACCAAAAAAAAAAAAAAACCGTTAGACTTTATACACTGTTTAATATATATAGGGACCAAAAATAAAATGCATTTTTAGAAGTTTCTACATATTTATGTTAATCTACATATTTATGTTATCACATAGTCATAAGCAAAACACATAGTCATAAGCATTTACTATTGTCTGCACACAGAATATGAGTGGTTTTAATCCCACATCCAAGGAAGTTGTGTTATTTTGTTGACTCTCTCAAATAATTTTATGTCTACTAGACAGAGTAATGAAGAATAATACATAGCGTTATCAGCATACAAGGTATACAATAACCATTGTCACTTATTTCAGAATGTTGCTTCTGCAAAGCACTCAGGAATGCGACATCCATCTTGGCGAGAACCAAAACCATTAAAGGCAGCATCTCGTCCTGCGACTGCGCAAGATGACGTCAATGGACTTCCGCCTCGACGGAAACCCATTCTCTCAAGGTCTAATACTACAATAGAATCTCGAAGAGACAGAGAAGTGCAGGGCATTGTTAATCGATTAACTGCTCCAACTTTAGCTGCCAAAATGAAGACCATTGAGTTCAATAAACGGACGGCATATGTGGACAATAATTATTATTCATGGTCAAACATGGCGGTGTATAAGGACCACCAAAAGATGATTTATAATGACGGTGGAGGCGTCAAACGACGGCCCACAATATCGTCAAGGCGGTAGCTGTATCGCAATAACCAAATGAGGCCAATCGGGTGTGATCAATCTATATTCATAAATTAAGTCATGTACATGTATACTAATGTGAGTATTGTCACTATGAAATTTATTTTTAATTAAATATTGTCAAAAATGCATGTATACATTCAGCATTGTGACTAGTACTTGTGTTGACTACTGAGGTACCGGTATTTCTTAGAGGTAGATGTAAGCAAAGTTTAAAAATTGGATTCACAGATTCTTATGAGAAATCTTCCCTGCCAAAAAATTTATGAAATGACGGCTACATGGACCCAACTGCTGGTTTAAATCACTTCCTACAAGAAAGATAAAAAATATATCAATTTTAGGATGTATTTTGCTTATTTTACTGAGATGTCTGCAACTTCTACAAAACTTCTCTGCTTTTATCCATGAAAAATGCTTTTTTTTGGCCACTTTACAATTCTTTACAAACTCTTTACAATTTGATTCTTTGTGTATATGATAGTCATCTAAAATATAATTTATTTAGAAAAGTTTAATTACAGATGATAAGTTTTTTGGTGAAAGAATTTTCTATTTATTGTCTATAAAAAATCCCAAGAAGTCTGGTTTCCCGCCAGTCATCTCAGCAGAACATCCTTAATTTTTTTTTTTTCTAAAAAAGGGACATTTAAGAATGGACAAACAGTGTGGCAAAGCTCCGTAGAAACGACACAACGAACACCGGTGCATTTGGATTTTTTTTAACATGTGCATGCACAAATAGCTAGGGTCATGTATTTTTCTGCTCATTGAAAAGTTGTAATCTGTAAGCTTCTTCCTGGATTCTTTGGCTACTTGCAACAATTTATAACCACATATTTTACGTATATGGCCTTTAAGATCATACTCAAGATTACTGATTGTAAGCATATCCTTAAAATATCAGAACGAGTTCGGTGGTATAACTTATTTTGACAGCTTTACACGGCAAATTCTGACCAAACGACTACTTTAAAAGTCATATAAGGTAATAGAAAATCAAATATTTTATTTATTGGTTCTTAAGATAATATCTCCGTAATTATAATTCCCGAAATGGATGATACGCTCACTTATAAAATGTAAATAAATATGAAATCATGGCTTGATACGTCAATCCACGTATCAGGGGATTTAACATAATTTGTAAATTAAAAAAAAAATACAATGAATGTTTAATGACAGGATGATACAGGGCTTATACAAAATTAACAATGTTTAAATATAAAAGAAATGGTAGTAATACCTGAATACGTGTATGTATTTTCAAATGATCTTTTTCATAAATCAATAAGCCTAACAAGCATACGTATTTACATACTGACCTTGCTAATTATTACTTAAATAAGGAAAAATTTATGTTTAAACTCTACATAAACTTTATACATTGCATATTAATTTGTTAATTACATAATGTATGAACCACTAACCAACTCAGTAAAGTCAAACGTACGAAATATAGAATATACAAAGTGATCAACATAAATTTTGAGTTATCTCTCTTGACAAATGCCAGCTAGTCTGCCTGGGAATGTAATGCAGTGATGAAGGTATTGATGGTCTTTTAAAAATATATATATAATAGTACGCTCCAACTCAACCTTACCCAAGAAAAAGAAAAATAAACTCCCACAGACTTGATGTTTATGTTTTAGTCACGAAAAACCCCTTTAAATATCCTATGTACTAGTATAAATACCAGTATTATATTGTGTTATGCCAATATATTTTCCAAACATTTTTATGAGTCGAGTGTTTTTGCATCTTAAATGGTATTACAGGAGGATTTTTGATCGAAGTTTAATTTATTTTATAATTTTGGCAATAAATTTGAAAACAAAAAAACTAACTTGTATTACCTGAAGATCAGTGGATTATACTTGAATTTTCTGATTTTTTAAAGATGGATTTTGATTTGTATACTCTCTCGTTTAAACAAAGTAGTTTTCAATAAACTTTGGTTTTGAAGTGTGCAAATATTCAATTAAAAAAAAACTTGGTATCAATAACGAAGTACTTGTAAGAGGAATTAATCAGCTTGTATTTCACAGTCTGGGATATAAATATACGAGGTAGTTACACGCCATTGTATGAGAAAAATGTTTTCAAAAATCAAATAATTTAAAATTTACCAAACAAAATAAACAAACAAGATTCTTTCCAATGTAGGGTTATTTGATTGATTGTTTATCGCCATATTTCGGGGATTAAAATAACTGTATATGACCATACACATATGTTTTTAAAGTTCCAGCCTCCCTCAGTCTACTCTTTTTCGATAACCACAGAAAAGATCTTTATCAAACTGGGTGAAAGTAACGGGGATTTTTTTTTTAAATGACTCATGTACTTGAAGTCACATTTTAATTTATCATGTATTTGCATCAAACAAATTGATATTAAAATATACATGTGCATCGGTAATTCATGAAAAAAAAACGACGATGATTAATCTTGTTTTCTCAGTAATGTGAAAATTATGCAAGTGACAAGAAAGTTTGATATTGTAAAACATTCTTTGATTAATTTCAATTCCGCCGTTTTTAAAATCGATGAATTGAGAATTTAGATGTACTTCTTTCTATCTCTCATATTTTTATCCCGAAATCGTTCAAAGAAACTAAATTAAATGCTGAAAGAGTCACCGCGTGTATCTTGCTAGCATTTATCAATATTAAATCAATCATAAAATTTCTTCATAAACGTTCACAAAGCAATACTGGTGTCAAAAGTCCGGGGCTTAATAAAGTTTTCTGGTTGGGACTTAACTTTTCCTCCTATGGATTACGATTAAGGTATTCCGTTGACTTGAAATTGTTTGACAGATGTGTTTATTTGTAAATAAGATCTAGATACATAATATATCCCCCACGTACCAATTCTATTTGCCAAGTTAATGCACTTTTCTGACTCAAAATTGGCACATGGGTATGTATTGACAGAGAGGCGATATCACAAGTTAATAAACTAGTGTAACATTTTGTCAAGGCAGGGTCTCTTTAATGTATTATCAAATATTTCAAATCTGGACAGATAGACCTATAAAACATTTCGTGTTGACAATAAGTGGTTTGAAAATATCGGACAAGTATTTGTGAATTTCATTGTTGAGTTAGAAATGTAGCCCTTTGGGCCTTTGATTTCTAACCGATAAGCAGGTTAAGTGAAACTATTGCGTTTTTTTTTACCTCCCTTACTTGGGTCGCAAACACCATAAATTAGATAGCCTAACAACAAGACCGATGAAAAATTGGACATCAATTTCCATAATTTCTAAGGAAAAAAAACAAAGCAAAACAAACATCATCAACTAGTAGAATCGCAAAAATAGCCAAGTCATTGCAAGATTATACGATATGTGTATATTGATATTCGAAGGACAGATAAATAAAAACAAGCTGCTATTTTCTGCCCAGTGGACCTTGTGAAATCCTTATCATCGCCACCCGAGTGCCAGAACCCGGTACCCATTCATCACTACTAATTTTATAAATGGCATGTCGACTCCAGCTATAATCACAAGACTGTATTTTTGTCAGAGCACATAATCGATGTTTAAATAACCTTTTATCAGACCATTCAGGAACTTAATCAACTTGGTTCCATAATGAGCCAGCGAGCTGAGCCTGTGTGTATTGTTAGAGGCATGCCTATCGCATGCCTTAAATAAGGAACACCGGGTCAGGTGCGGTCCAATCGGGCCGTGTGCTTGTATGTAGACCTATCAGGAAATATAAAGTCCCCCGCGACCCTCCCCGAACTACTCACTCCTTCGCCGTGTGGATACTGGGTCTCCCTACACTGAGGTCAGTCAGGTTAGCTTTATTATGATTATTTCATCTTATAGCATCAATAAGGGGTTGTAATTGGATATCCATGTTAGTTTACTTTTAAAAATATCAACAATTTTGCAAATAAAAGAAATTATTAAAGGGGGATATATTTGTTACCTCTTTGACTCACTGCATTATAATTTTGATTTTAACAGAAATTTTATTACATCCTTAGAAATATAGAATAACATTGTTGAAAAAATATAAAGACATCGCCATCATGTCAATTTTTGCTGAAAACACATCGTGTTACATGGATGTGTGGATGTTCATGAGCTTTCATCACATGATCATGTTCAATGTACATGTACTTGTAAAGTTTCAATAATTGACAAAAATTTTAAAATTCGTGAAATAATAAGAGCAACAGTTTTTATGACATTCAGTGAAATTAAATTTATCCTTCTGATTAAAACCAAAGCATTATTTTTTTTTTTAAACTTTGAAAATTATTTATTTGATTATCAAATAAAAAGAAGCTACTGAGTGAAGGTTTGATTTTAATCAGAATGTAATCATGGTAATATATGTATCGACACTTCAAATGTATCTATATTATAATGTTGATTTTTTTTAAATTTTATTTTTCAAAGGCATCTCTGATTTGATATAGTAGTGCACTTTATGCAGAAGAATTGAAACAAAAAAAATTCTCTCTATATAACAAATCAATAAAAGAGTTGATACATTAATTCTTAAAGTTAAACCATCATTTAAGCACCTGACAAATTAATTGAATTGTTCTGCACACATATCTCTTTGAAGTGTTTGGTTACAGTAGTATGTACCCCACTAACGGCCCCGCTGTGCAGTGTAAATCGAACAGTGAGGTCTTTCTATATTGCTGGTGTCTTCAATAAAATTAACTCAATAAACCTAGTAGAAGAAACACTGTCAATAAAATCGTGTAAGGAATCAAGTTTATGTGCTTATAATGACCTAATTGTTCTAAAGCAAGTATCCAATTACGGACTCGTCACATATTTTCGTATGCATGTTGCGTGCACTTTGCTGGCCCACACTGGAAGAGCGATGGTGGCTAGAGTTGAACATGTAACATGCACAAGGCAACCTCTCATGCAGTTATTTTCCTTTCAGCTTTTTAAATTCTTCTTGACAATGAAAAGAAAATTAAACTGAATATCGCCAAATACATGTAAGCAGCTACTACAAACAAGAAATCACATATCTTTAAATAAAAACTATATAGGTACTGTATTCAATTAAAATAAAAAAGAATAGAAGTTTTCAATTTTTATTAATATTTAAGGAATATATAGAAATGTTTGAAGAGTACACCAAAGCGTTAGCAATATCATTAAAATTTGCTTGAATGATTCGAAATAACGCATCGCAATGCTATATAAATTCCTTAGACAGGACTATAAATTCAGCTGAACATGCGAGATTTAAAAAAGGGGGAACAAGGAACTCTTTTAGCATGTCTGATTAACATAAAGAGCGATTTCACATCTTTTCAAAATCGATTTTGACTTGATCGTGTAAATTGTACTTTATTAGTACATTTAATGTACGCATCAATGGAGATTCATTCAAGTAGAAATTGTTTTTAACTATATTTTAAACATGTCTTTCCACACAAAAATATATCAGTGATGTGAAGATTTGGAAAAGAAAATAGGGTCCAGGAATTCAGTATGCAATATTCTATTATATGATGTACGTAAGTCTATATCTTATATTCCAGAATATCGTCGTTTTGTGTACTCAGTAAATCATCTTAAATCAAAAAATACTATTAAAAGCATAGGTCACATGATTTACACGTGTTTATTAATGCTAAATTTAAATTAAAATTTTAGTGACAGGACTTTTTGTAAAAATAACCATTCAGTTGGTTCAAATGATAAATAACATTGAAGAGACGTATACTGAAGGGATTTGATAGAACACAACTTGAGATGGCTGTTTTAAACACTTTTTTCTTCGAAATTTTGACAAGTAACTTTATGTTCTTTGCTTTAAATATAACCAAGATATCTTAAAGTGTTGAATGATATAGTAAAATAGTTACTACGAAATAATATTCATTATTTAACAATTATTGAATTTAGGAGTGTTGAGTTGACCACATATTTTCGTGTTTATTTGCGTTTACTGCTCATCCCTTCCAACGGAAGACGCATAAAAATTATTTTCTTGCTGCTTTATTTCCAAAATGGCTCTTCTGCATGGTACTGGTTCATTGTCACGAACACCAAAAATAAACTTAGGCACGACAAACCCAACAACATGTAAACATATACCCGACCTTCGATGTTCTTTAAGAAGATAACAAAAAGATAAGTCTGTCTATCTGCATATTTAGATTGTTTTATATGCTAAGGTCGGCTTGTGAAAAATATTTTGACAACAAGAATTTAGATCGGAGAACAACTATACCTATATCCTTAGAGTGCCGCCAGTTTTCAATCCCTTGTTTTAGATTACCGATAATTGATACACATACAAATGGAGACAAACAGAGAGGATTTAGATGCACGGGACTGACGCACACTCTGTAATGAGATAAAGGGATTGCATGGCACTGTTTACAAAACTTCTCTATCTGGTCATTGTTCAGATGTCACAATTCGTCTAAATAGTAAATAAAAACTGCAGATAGAGTAAGACAAAAATAATAATAATAATAAAATGTATATAATGCATTTAACCAGGACAGATACACCCCATCCCTACCCCCCAAAAAATCAAACTAACCATCATCGTTTCTGAAAGGCTATACTCTCCTCAGAGTAGCGCATCAGAAACCCTTGGCTAGCGAAGATGACTGTGTACCATTCAAAAAAAAAACTAAAAGGCAATCAAACAAAAAAATCAACTGCATGTGGATGAATTTGTGAAAATGAAATATGTATATACTATCTATTAGAAGTTTCATATAGATTTAGATTATGTAAAATAATCAAGTTAAAATAAATCAAAATATATTTCAAAATGTAAGGACAAGAATAAAAACTTTTATTAGTTTTGCGATGTTTATTTTTAAAACACTACAAATTTTTTATGTTAAGATATTTCGTTATATCGTTTTATGCAAAAAAATGCAAACTACGAGCATTGCCAACTGCAAAAAAAAAATTATAATAATAATAAGTAAATAAAAATAGAATAAAATAAAATATCTTTAAGCTTAAAATATCCGTTTTATGTACATTAAACAAAACGTTTAACCGGCGAAAATCTTACAGACAGTCCTATTTAAGCTCATTTAACTGATCTTAGGTATGACCCCCTAAATGTTTCGTGTCAGTGGAATTCAGACTCTTGTATTTTGTTATAAGTCAACAAAGAAGACATGACCTGATCAATTACACTCTAACGATCGAAGTCATAAAATCGGACCAAAACTTTGACCCTTTTGTGCTCAACATATGATTGATGCATATACTTAAAAAAACTTGAAAATACTCAATCCAAATCGTTCCATTTTCGCAAATGTTTTTATATAGATGCGATTAAAAAGGAAATCAATATTGTTGTGCAGACATATGCATTTACAACCATTATAAAAATTCTATTTGCTTTAAAAAAACGCCTTTGAAAAGTTTATAAGAATATAAAATTGCGCTTTTCATAAATGTTAAAGACCATATATTTATTTTCGTTGCATTGACGTACAATGAAAACTTTTAAATTATCCACCCTTCCCTGCACAAACACACATCTCTGCCACCTGTAGAGTCATACATGAATGTTTGGTTAGAGATTTACAAGTGGTCACTGACTTTAAAATAGCCCGCTTAACTCCAAAACTAATAAAAAAGATAAATTTGATCATTCAACCTTGCCCCCTCCTTTTTTACTAGTATTTTTTTACGATATGCTGTCGTATATTCCCAATCTCTCTCATTGATTTGATCCTACGCAAAAGAGGTAACACGTCATTTCCAATGGATGGTAACGTTTTATGGGTGATTAGCGCTAATTGAATGTTTTTATATAACGCTAGAGTGAGTAGCATAAAACGCATTACAATTTCAGCACAATAAACGCGCGGATGTCCGACTATGCACTTCAACGCTTCCACATGAATTGAATCAGAAAACAAATCCCAATCTCCATCGTGATGTTCTTTTCTTCATTAAAAATATTAAATGAACAATAATTCATCTCAATTTGACGTCATCAAGAAAATTTATTAATGTTTTAGACTAAGTAAGAAAGGCTTCATGTTTGATACACATGAGGACTGCCGTGTATCTTTTTTAATATCACTAAGTGCTGGAAGGTTCTTTTAGGTAAAATAAATTGTTTTAAAAGCCGAGTTTTTATGTTAAACATTGATTGCATTTATCACCTGTGTTCGTGAATATTTTTATTCTTTTATTTATTTTCAGGTGGATTTCCTCACAACGTAATAGAATCAAGAGAGGGAATGTCTCTTTGTACGTATTATATATATTTTTATGTCTAAAATCACATGGAAGTTCTATCACAGTTGCATACATTTTATCGACTATTTCCAACAAAATTGGATTTACTTATGCTTTTATTGTCCAAATAGGTATATAGAGAACACCATTTGGCTTTTACGACTTAAGTGTTCCTCTCGTTTGAAAACATGTAATTGTCAATCTGACATGCGTGTACATTTGAATTTAGAGACCCATTGAAAACGTCTGCGAGAACCTGATTTATTTGTCTGTATATGTTGATAACTGCTGATTACACAAAAATGTGCAAATATTTGACTTCAATTTTACTGCATTTGTGTACAAAACGCTTTAGCCATCAACTCTTTTGGAGAAATTTTAAACAAAGTCACATTTTGGAAATAAGCCTCTAGAACACCGCTGAGTATTTAATCCTAACATTTGTCTTACAAATTTACTCAGTGTAGCCCTGTGTCAAGTGTCGGAGGGCCTGACACGAGTTTCTATGACTTTGCAAAAAATGTTTTGCATTGCAAGTTAAATATCAAGTAAATGTACTGCTAAATATACCTTTTACTTGACTCTTTTTACAGAAATTTGAAGACTATTGAAGGCCGTAAGAAATGTTATCAATGAAGACTAACAGAGAAATGGATATTTATAAAAGACAGTTTAAATCTCAAGAGTTTGCACGTGAACTCAACAAACGCGAACAACGCCGTCTTGACCAGGAGGTTGGCGGGAGAGGTGGTATAGAGGCTGAATACAGATTCAATCTCGACAAGGTGAACCAAGAACGCAAGGAGATAGAGAGGGAACTGAACAAGATCCGAGGCGGCGTTCACAAACAACTTACAAATCATGCTACCTTGTCAAGCGATAAAAAGTTCCATCATCCGAAATTCAAGGATTTTGGAATGAAAAACGCAAGCGGCAGGAGTCCTAGGTTGCAACGAAAGCCTTTACCAGAAAGCAACTCACGCGAGAAAGATCCAAGCCCAATGGACACCGAGATGCTTATTGAGTACCTCCAAAGTTTTAATAAAGCGCATGCGCAAGATAATAATGGTATTTCTGATGGGATCAAAGGTTCAGGTCGCTTCATACAAAATAAATATAATGATCTTCCACATGTGCAAATAAATCCATTGATAATATCAGATCAGTCAGAAACTATTGAAGCGGAAAATTCAAATGACTCCGAGGAACAGAAGCAATATATACAAACATTAAGTGACAGTCAATCGCAAGGCACTCCATCTGACGACCACGAGACATCACAAGAAAGAGATCACAAAAACGAGAGTGGAGAAACAAAGTCGGGGATGAGTTCACCTCGACACAGCCCAGTCAGACGTTTGTCACTAGACAAAGGAAAGCACATTGCTCCAGGAACCAGTCCTCCAAGACATCTCTCCGCCAGAAGACTGTCGACTGATAAAGGAAAAAGTACATCCCATGTAGTCAACGATGATGTTCATGGACCCCCAAAATACAATCCAGCCAGGCGACTCTCAACGGATAAGGGAAAACACACCCCTCCAGACAACGAGGATATTCACGCTCATCCAAGACACAGTGCTGTAAGGCGGCTTTCAACGGATAAGGGAAAACATACAACCCATTCAGGCAACGAGGAGAACCCTGCTCATGCAAGGCACAGTCCAACAAAGCACCTTTCCACGGACAAGGGAAAACATACAGGCAACGAGGACAACCATGCTCATGCAAGACACAGTCCAACAAGGCACCTTTCAACGGATAAGGGAAAACATGCAACCCATTCAGGCAATGAGGATAATCATGCCCATGCAAGACATAGTCCAACAAAACACCTTTCAACGGATAAGGGAAAACATGCAACCCATTCAGGGAACGAGGATAACCATGCTCATTTAAGACAGAGCCCAACAAGACGATTATCTACAGACAAAGGGGAACATCTGTTACCCTTACATACAGCAGACGAGAGACCGAGTTCGCCGCCGCACACACAAACAGAAGAAGTGAACGAGGCTGAAACTGCAAGTGTTTGGAAAGACGCAGATGTGGAGGAAGTGGAAACACAACCTAATATTCCGGCGGAAGAGGAAAAACCGAAACCTACTAAATCGACGATCGGACCTGAATCTTTTAACCCAGACGGGTCTCTAAAAACTATGTATACGGTACCTCCTTTTGAGCAGTCATGGGAAGAGGCTAGGAAAGCCAGATACATCAGAACCCGTGAACCTTTGGAAAGGGACAGACAATTAACCACTAATGAGATATTTGATAAATCTTCATAAACTCTGGATTTAAGCCGTACGTAGATATGCAGGCTAGTCATTGTGATTTTATTTTTGTTCTTAATTTAAACTTGTTAATTAAAAATAATTAACATTGCCTATAATGTTATCTTCACAACCGATCTATCTAAGTGGTTGTTTTACGTATTTGGAGTACTTCTTTTTACGATTGATTACGTATAATGAATTATTTTGGACTGGTTTCATGTTATCGTTTTGGCGTATAAATATGTTATAATGAAGATATTTGGATCTGTTTTATGGGAAAAGGAGCATTGTAACTGGTGCGTTATTAAGTACCTAGACGGCTCGTGTTTTATTCTAAAGTGTAAACATGTCGTTTTAATGACATTTAATGGGAAGAAAAAAATAAAGACATCAAACAACTTCTCACCTGGATTTTCTGAATGAATAAATTTTTAACTTTAAAATATTTTGTAAATTTCTTAAAGAACGGTGTACGATACGTTTTTCTCTGATAAGAATTGTACCTCTGTGGCAATATTGTATTTAGCTATACTGCCCTTTTCGATATATATTTTTATTTGTCAAAAAAGAATTGCAAAACATGACATGTTGCGGATTTTAATAGACAAACATTTTAAGTTTTAAGATAGTACTTTGGTAATGAGTGATTTTATCACCGATTGTAGATTACATCTGACCCATTGCGCTATTTGTAATGATGTCACAAAAATGTCTAGACCTTCGTCCACGGGGAACAGCGCCAAAAACAACAATTCCTCTCTTAAAAGAACCAAACATTTTCAAAACCTTTTCCCAAGTCGGCGCTGTACCAAGAACTGGCATAATCTTTTATTACCTTGAGATTGCAACGAAAATCCAACTGATAAAAATTGTGAAGACTTGCTCTAAACTAGCAATGCTTTTTAAACGATATTTGCCAATTGACATAATATTCTTTGTTGAAAATATATCTGACTCCCTTTTTTTTTCAAAAAGAACAAAAACAATAATAATATACATGTATATAAACATAACAAACAAAATATTGCCCACAAAAATATGTTAATGTTTTTCAGTAAACAATGATAATTAGGAATTGTTAAACATTCGCAGTTAGAAAGTAAACATACGAAGATTCCAAAGCTAGCCACGTATTTCTTAAATTCTCGCTTTCTATAAATGATGGTCATGAAAATGAATGTGTTAAAAATTTGCAGTTGGTGCTCAATTTGCAAAACAGAATCATGCCTACTTAATGAGCTCTATGTAGTTCACACGTTTATGGGCTTCAATATCTAATTATATTCACCATCATACATGACTTTCCTAAAAGAGAACTGCATCGTTGACGGAAAAGAGGGCCAAAGGATTAAATTCCATATTGGAAATGAGCGTAAAATAAAAATAATTATAGTTCGTCTAAATCGGTCCTTGAAGTAAATAGATATGTAAATACACTTGACATACATTTTTATAAGTTAAATAGAGAACATCAATATGTTACTGTAATTGTCCGTTTAATTGACTGGAATCTTATTTAGATTTCAAATCGGCTGTATACTAATGTACACTAAACGTTAAATCACTTCTGCTAATATGTTACTCATTGGCAAAATAAACTGATTACAGAAAGACTTTCAAAAGGAAAAAAAAAAACATATAAAAATGATTGCTATGAATAGTCATTGTAATGTTTGGCTTCTACTAGTTGTTTATGTTTAAAACACATGATCAGATTTTAAGTCAGAGTAACCTAATTGTTTGTTTATTCGTTTAAATACCTTGTCTCTTCTAGAATTTTTTTTCACTCGATTATAGACGTCGTCACTTGCCGTTGAGGGCTGCAATAATGGAGACAAGGCTTTACCACAAAGATGGTCCATAGCACAATAAGCACATTAACGAGATAATGTTTGTCTAGTAAATGATGAATTAAGACATAAATATCAAAATATTACGTATTGAAAAAAATATTTCCGTCAAGAGCATTCATATCTTAAAAATTTAAAAATAGTGTTATGAAAAAGAAAGCATCGTATTAGCTCTAGAATCGACCATCAGGAACTTTGATTTAATTTCTCATACACTTGTTTGCAAGCAAGATGTTCATAAGCTGTTGTACATAAAAGAAACAATAGTAAAGCTGTACCGTAATGATTCTTACCAGCTCTGCTGCCTTTCTATAATGAATGTTTTGGATTGATTGACCATATAGCTTGAACCGAAAAAAGCTGCCAAGGATGCTTTTGTGTTGATATTCCAAACATGCCTCTTTTGTTCTAAAATGCCTGATAC